GATGAGCACAAAAAGGCTCAGTAAGTAAATTCTCTACTCATTTATCCCTGTAACTCTTTCTCTTAATTCTTTCCTTACACTTTTCTCTTTCTGTTTCTCTTTCACATAGCTCGTTCTATTAACCTTCTGTTATATGTCTCGGCCTCATCTTATTGAAGGCACGGCCGGGTGGAGTTCACAAAGCACCATCCCACTCTTCGTGACTCTACTCATTCTCTCTTTGTTCTTTCTCATGTTTGCTCATTCTTTCTCACTTGAATGTCACAACCTTATCTTACCGGAGGCACGGCCGGGAACTCTAGCCCACTCTACATGACTTTTACTCACTCACATGTCACAGCCCCATCTTACAGAAGGCACAGCCGGGAACTCAATCCCACTCTATGTGACCAATACTCATTCAAGTGTCACGGCCCCATCTTACTGGAGGCACGGCCGGAAGATCACAAAGCTCCCACTACTCATGACCTTAACTCATTCTCTGTCGATCGGACTTGGTTATGCATGGATTCGGAACCCTTGGCCATGTGAGTGTACTCTCTCTTTCTCTCGAGTGTCACAACCTCATCTTACCGGACGCACGGCTGGAAGATCACAAAGCTCCCACTACTCGTGACGATTCTACTCATCACTCATGGGTTCCCCATCGCATGACCTACTTTATTCTCTCGTTTAGCACTACTCTTGTTTTTATTCTCTAGTGATTATTCTCTCTTTTACTTTACTCTTGGAGTTTTCTCATTCTCATTACTCTTAGAGTAACTTATACTCAAATTCTCTACTCTTTCTCAAGCTACTTCTCAACGCACAACTATTGCGTATGGATGGTTAATGCTCATTAATGCACTAATGAAATGCCAATATGCAATGTTGCAAGAATTAAGGTTTACTATTCATGCTCATACTTCTCTTAGGCATTTCATCAAACAACTCATGTGCATATAAAAACTCTACCATAACAATAACTCTACTTCTTTCTCTAACCATCCAAAATGGGAGGAAACTCCCTCACATAGCTATAATTCTTGTCAAGGATAAACACTTCTAAAAAGATTTCTCAATCTCCTCCAATTTCATCTCATTCATCACACATCATGCAATCTCAACACTTCTCATAAATGAAGTGTATTCAACAACCACAAAGCAAATACTTATCTTAATTCAATTCTCAATAATATAGCATACACATGCATATATAATTCTCCACTCAAAAGAGTTCTTAAATCTCAACTTGGTTGAATTTACTTACTTGTGATGGAGTGATTCCACTAGCACTTCTCTTTACCTTTGGTAACTTGTATTTTCTCTACAATCTCAACCAACCATACTATAAGACTTCAACTCATTAGTAGGTAAAATTCACATCTAAAGTAAGAATCCTTACCTTAGAATGCTTTAGATTAACTTTCTACCAAAATCACTCAAAAAGCCCTTTAGAATCCTTAAAAGATTGAAGGAAAACTTGAGAGCAAATGGAGAATGGAAGAGGCGGTGGAAGATGAAGAATGAAGGGGTTACAAAGCTTATTCCCTTTTTAGCTCAAAATATCTTCATTCATTCCCATAATGCCCTTACTCTTTCTTAGCATTCCATCCTTATCCTTTGATTCCTTACACTCACACCCCCACTCTAACATATTCTACATGAAATTTTCTTATATTTCACTCTCCACTTTTCCTACTAATTAGGGGTAGAATGGTCCATTTGCCCTTAGGAAAAAATATCTAGCAAATTCAATACAAAACTCAGCCGGCTCTTTGCCGCAGCAAAGCAAGTTTCTTTGCCCCGGCGAAAAATTACAGAACCTACCTCTTTGGTTGCAGAACCTCGTCGCCACGGCGAAGATTACTCTTCACCCCGGCGAAGTCTGTAACACCAAGATTTCGCCAAGTCTTTACAATTTCAGGGCAACCACTCAACCAAACCAATACATTCATTCAACCAAGGGCCAACAAAACAATATTAACAATATAACAACTAAATTAAGAGCAAAACAATAAAGATTCAAGCAATGCAACATAAATTAGCTACATACCTCAAGTGGACTGTTATAGTGACCGGATAATTAGTGTCGAAGTCAGCATATCCTTCAACTTATCGAATGCATCTTTGCACACCTCATCAAATTCGAACACAACATCTTTTTGCAATAACCTACATAAGGGTTGAGCGATTTTGGAAAAATCCTTGATAAAGCGTTGATAAAATCCTGCATGTCCAAGAAAAGAGCGAATTTCCCACACACTTGCAGGGTAGGGCAAAGATTTGATAACTTTTATCTTAGCTTTATCAACTTCAATTCCCATAGAAGATACAATATGGTCTAGAATAATACCTTGATCAACCATAAAGTGACACTTTTCATAATTCAAAACAAGGTTTGTTTCTATGCATCTTTTAAGCACTTTTGTAAGGTTAGTTAAACAAGTATCAAAAGAATCACCATAGACTGTAAAGTCATCCATAAATACCTCTATGATGTTTTCTACGTACTCTGAAAATATACTAACCATACACCTTTGAAATGTAGCAGAGGCGTTGGAGAGTCCAAATGGCATTCGTCGGTATGCAAAAGTGCCAAATGGGCACGTGAAGGTGGTTTTTTCTTGGTCTTCAGGTACGACTGGGATTTGATGAAACCTGAATAACCATCAAGACAACAATAATGAGTACGACCAGCCAAACGTTTAAGCGTTTGATCAATAAATGGAAGAGGAAAGTGATCTTTTCTAGTTGACACATTTAACTTCCTATAATCTATACAAACCCGCCACCCGTTTTGAATTCGAGTGGGCACCAACTCACCATCAGGATTTTTTATTACTGTTATACCTGTTTTCTTTGGCACAACCTGAACCGGACTTACCCATTTACTATCTGAAATTGGATAGATCATACCTGCATCAAGAAGTTTCAAAATTTATTTCTTTACCACTTCATCATTGGTGGATTCAGTCGGCGTTGGGCTTCTCTGGAAGGCTTACAATCTTCCTCTAATAGTATCCTATGCATGCATGTGGAAGGGCTCAATCCCTTAATGTCAGCTATAGTCCAACCAATAGCCTCTTTATATTCTCTAGGTATCCGAATCAACTTTTCTTCCTCTAATATGGAGAGTTTATTTGAGATTATCACCAGAAGAGTTTCTCCTTCTCCCAAAAATGCATATTTCAGATGATCTGGTAAGGGTTTCAATTCCAATTTCGGTGCATGCATAATAAAAGGAAGAAGTTTTGTTTGAGAAGGAGGCAACTCAATGTAAGACACATCATACCTTACAGGTTTAAGTGATTCCAATTCGTAGATTGCATCTTGCATGTCGGACTCCAACAAAAACTTCTTCATGATCTTCTGTAGCCCTTCAAGAGTGAAATTCCTGCTAAGTATAACTTTTACCTTATCATCAGTACTTAGATCAAAGATTTCCTGCACTAACGGGTCAATAACATCCATAGCAAAAATAGAAGACACATCATTAGGGTACCTCATGGCGTCATAAATATTAAATTTAATAATTTCACCATCAAATTCCATGGTGAGTGTACCATCATGCACATCAATTTTTGTCCTAGATGTTTTTAGAAATGGCCTTCCTAATAACAGTAGCGTTGAATTAGAAGAGTCATCTTCTTCCATGTCAAGAACAAAAAAATCAGCAAGAAAGATCAATCCATTAACTTGTACTAAGACATCCTCCACGACTTCTTCAGGATATATATTAGATCTATCAGCAAGTTGAATAATCACACCTGTTTCTTTTAATGGACCAATATTCAAAGATGAATAAATAGAAAGAGGCATGACATTTATTGAAGCTCTTAGATCTAGCATTGCTTTCTCAATCCTAACATCACCTAGTTTGCAAGGGATAGTAAACATACCTGGGTCCTTGCATTTTGGAGGTAATTTTTTTCTGGAGGACGGCTGAAACATTTTCCCCCATACTTATCTTTTCATTACCTTTCAACTTCCTCTTGTTGGTGCACAACTCCTTGAGAAATTTTGCATATCGAGGCACTTGTTTAATTGCATCAAGTAAGGGAATATTTACCTCAACCTTGCGAAAAGTTACAAGAATTTCCTTCTCTTCCTCTTCTTTCTTGGATTTAGTCAATCTAGTAGGAAATGAAGGATTTGTCACCAATGCCTTTGGTTGTTCACTATCGAGTCCTCTAGGCTGGTCAGTTTGAGGTTGAGGAGCAACTACTTCTTTTTCGATTTCTTCTCCATGTGCTGCCTTACTGGGTTCCTTCAACTCCTTCCAGCTTCTCAAGGTAACTGCACTAGCATTTTGTTTTGGGTTAACAATAGTTTGTGAGGGCAATTTACCTTGAGATTCCAATCTGCTCATAGAAGATGCTAGTTGACTCATTTGATTCTCCAATTGTTGAATGCTCGTTCTTGTCTCCTGTTGAAATTGTTGCATGTTAGTTGCAAGTGATTTAACAATTTCTTCTAGAGACATACCTAAACTTGTGGAGGTTTGTTGTGGTGGTGGAGCAGGTGGTCTAGGCTGATAGTATTGGAATGGTGGTCTTGCTCCATAGTTGAAATTGGGATGATCCCTCCATCCTGGGTTGTAGGTATTTGAATAGGGATCGTATTTCCTTTGTGGTGGGCTTGGAAATCCTCTAGCTGCATTGGCATGCTCATAGGAATCATCTCAAAGTGTAGGGCACATGTTAGTTAGATGACCGATGGTAGCACAAATCCCACAAGCTTTCACTTGTTGCATATTTCCTACAGCTAACTGTTGAACAATAGAAGTTAGATTGGATATTTGATTTTCAAGGGAAGATATACTTACCTTATTCACCTTTATTGGAGATGTGTCTTGCCTGAATCCAAATTGTTGTGAGTTAGCGGCCATGATGGAGATCAAATCTCTAGCGTCACGAGGAGTTTTGTTCACTATGGCACCTCCACTTGCTGCATCCATCATCTTCCTTTCCATGGGTAGGAGCCCTTCATAGAAATATTGAATGAGAAGTTGTTTAGAAATTCCATGTTGTGGACAGCTTGCATATAGTTGCTTAAATCTTTCCCAATACTCATGAAGGGTCTCTGTATCTTTTTGTTTGATTCCACATATCTCCCTTCTGATACCAACAGCTCGTGAGGCAGGGAAAAATTTATCAAGAAACAATCTCACCATCTCCATCCATGTGATTATAGAGCCAAGGGGCAAATAAAATAACCAATACTTTGCTTTTTCAGTCAACAAGAATGGAAAAGCACGCAATTTGATTTGTTCTTCGGTCACTCCTTGCGGTTTCATGCTTGAACACACCACATGGAATTCCTTCAGATGCTAATGAGGATCTTCTTTCTCAAGACCATGAAAAGTTGGGAGCAAATGGATAAACCAAGATTTTAACTCAAAACCCACTTCCAAAGCTGGATATGTAATGCAAAGTGGCTGTTGATTTACATTTGGTGCAGCCAATTCCCTTAAAGTTCTCTCTTGATTGGCCATTGTTTCTTCTATTTTAGAGTCATTAGAAGAATCGCTAGATGAATCAACCAAGTCAAGTACTAGATTAAATTTGAGGGATGAGGATGAAGATGCTTGTTTGTCACGCAATTTAGCTTCCTTCCTCAACTCCTGAGCCGTCTTCTCAATCTTAGGATCGTATTGGAGTTCACCTACACAAGAAGAACGAAGCATTAAAATAAATCTAATTAACACCAATCCCCGGCAACGGCGCCAAAAATTTGGTGGGTGTCGAATACAACAAATAATAAAATTCTCACTCTCAAAAAATACAAATTGTAACAGTGATGAGCAAGGTCGTATCCACAGAGATTGGGTAGATTTATTTTAATGAAAATTAAACCAAAGAAATGGGGGGTTTTGAAATTTCAAAGTGAAATAAAAAGAAAGCAATTATAATCAACTAAAAATTAAGGAGAAATCAATATCAGGCAAATATCCAACCAAAGGTATAATTTCATAATTGGTTCAGAGAATTGATCACAGATACAAGGATAAAATCTTCTATTCTTCACTAAATTGGTTATGGTTATTAACAAGCTCTAACAACCTATCTCTCCTTACTTTCTCGATAACCAAAACAAGCTCTTTGATTACTTCCCTTGTTAATAAACAACCCTAAACAAGCTCTTAGGATTTAATCTATCGACATCATTAATAATTAGAGAGACTACCAATTCTAGCCAACAAATACACAATCTCGATTCATTTAGACTAGATTATATATCTTCATAACATAAATCGAAAATCTCTCTATAATCAACTATGTTATTTTACCACTAATATTAGAACATTTAAACAATTATGGATTTAAAATTCTAAATGGCAATTTATTAACCTGATAATTGAACAACGGGCCCTTTGAATCAATCAATCAAGATAATAATTTTTAATAAATATAGAAGATATATAAATAGTGAAGAAATAAAAGAACACTGAAAATTATTTAGATCTCACAATTCTTGAAGAACCAAAACTTCAATTATCCTTCAACTGGAAGAAAAGTATTTAACTACTCATAATTAAAAGAACGCCTAAAGAAAAGAGAAGAAAGAGAGAGAGAGGGTTTTCTTGTGAATAATCTCCCTATTTATAACTCCATCTAATAATAGTTACCCTATCTAGATAAGGAAGCAAATCCCACCTTAATAGGAAGTCTTGGCAAATCCTAGAGATAAGAATGGGTAACTAAATCTTTCCAGCTGTCATACATATCCTTTTTCTCCAACAAATTCGTAACCCTAGGTCAAAAACCTCGGATCTAGTAAGGCGCGCCCACGCTTTATCTGCTGACTGCTTCTGTAAACATTCTGGGAAAACAAGACGTGCCCACGCTTTAAGCAAAACCCGCTGCTGGAATGTATATCTTTTTTAGCTCCGATTTTTCCTCTCCAAATCTCTTGATTTTGAATTCAATTTGATTTAACTCCTTAATCTACTCCATAAAATACGAAACATAATCAAAATCCAAGATTTAAGCATTTATAACCATTAAAACATGAGGAAATATAACAAATATATAGATATTATGAATTCTTATCATAGGGAGCCTTCAAAGTACGATCCAGAACTTTTCAAAGACACCTCCAATAAGGGCATGCATGGGAATGCGAAGGTGGTCCGCAAATTGACCGATCACTTCCTCAAGGTCCACCCCTGTGGGCGCTGATGACGAGCCCTCTAATACCTGCCTCATTGTAGATGACGAAGGAATCTCCCTTTTCCTCCTCTTTCACAAAAGGGTTGGCATCGGAGCTTTCCTACAACTATCAACGACCCTCATTTCCCTAACACCTAACCGGTTAAGGAAGGACCTGTGACAAGGATTGGAAAATCTCATCCAGCCTGTTCATTACAAACTACAAGGCATACTTTGGCATAGTCAAGGCCCAAGGCACGGCAGCCTTGCATTCCATACAAATGGGATGAAGGACCCCCAAGAAACCCACTCTGGTTGGCACACCACCCTTTGAATCTATCGGATGATGATGAGTCAAAAGACATTTACTGAAACAAAGAAAAGCAAACGGAAATTACAATGAGGGAACAACAATTGAAAACGTGAGAAGAAAGAGTAATGGGAGAACCTAGTCAGAACAAAGACGGTGACAGAAAAGAAAACTGACGAGAGACAAGAAAATCCTCTGGGAAAAGTGCGAGGAGAGTGAGTAACAATAAGTCGTGGAGAAAAGAAAAGAAAGCAATTCATAGGCTCAGGAGAAAGCACGACAACAATCTCCTGAATAGCCACTTACGATTCCCAAAGCATACATGGGGAAAAGAGACCAATGTTAAATGCACCATTGAAACACTTGGCGAAGATCACCTAAAACTGAAGAGACAGTGCACTCGTACAACTGTCAGACGTGACAAGACCCTTGTGGGCCCCCACTCAACCAACTCGAATCAGTGATGATGAAGTTTTCAAAGCTTGCAATGACCTTCAAAAATTGGGGTAGATGTTGTAAGGGAATAAAAACCCAGCTCTAGCCCGGAGGAAGCACAGTGATTCCAGTTCGGATACCATGCCAAACAAATCAAACAAAATACCTGTCCGAGACAAGTGTCAACTCGCAAAGAACAAGTCAGGTGTCAGCAAACCTCAATGCTTGTTGCAACACCTAATAAGCCTATTAAACAACATGGGCACCACGTGTAGTACATACAGCTGCTTTGTTTAGCCAGCGACTACTCTCTGAAAAAACTCCAATTAATTACAACTATAACTAGGAGTAAGCATAATAATGCCCTGATGCCTTCGATCGCCCAAAACTTGTCAGGGCAGACAACAATCATCTCGCTGACATATCCCCACTAAAGACTGTCATTGCAGCCCCTGTAAGTACCAAGTTAAAATCTTGAAAAGCGGTGGGGGGATTGGGCGGTGTTGTTTTGAAAGCATATAGATAAGAAGAGTAAAAAGAGAGCATTTTTGTAATTGTTCTAGTCAAAATCTTTGTAATCACTCATCTCGAGAAAAAAATTAGTGGATGTAGGCTTGATTCCTTGCTTGGCCGAACCACTTCAAAAGCTCGCCTCTTCATTTGTTATTATCTGTCAATAATGCCTTCAACTTTGATCTTGTCCCAATCATTCGCGCTCGTCTTTGCTGATCCCTCAGGATCATGCACTCATCCTACTCATTCCTCCTGTGGTCAACCGAGTATATCTAGTTGACACGTGTTCACGTCTTGAATTAAAAACTTGCAAAATAAAAATCACAAAATTATCGAACAACTCAAGCATAATTTTCCTGTTAATTACTAAGAATTAAACTAAAAAAATAAAGAAACAACTTAAAAGTATTTTTCTATTTTCTTTGAGAAAGTTAGAAAAATACATTGTTTTTTTAGTTTTTCCAAGGATCTTTGTCATACAAACTAAGAAACACCATTTTATTAGAAAAACACAAAATCATATTTTGATTTTTCATATATGAACTCTCCTTAGAGTCTAATTTATTTAAAAGAAACTACTGCCTAATAATATCATTGAATGTAAGATTTTAGAACCATTACTGTTAGGTAACCATCATCCGACTCAAAGTCGGAGAGACTCGAATCGGTATCACTAGCTGCAAATTGGAGAACATTGTCTCGAGTGGGTTCATCATCAATGGAAAACAAGCTTTCCATATCATCATCTGAAAAATCGATACCAATAAGTTGTGAAAGTTGTTGAATTATTTTGGCTTATTTGGGCAATTTTCGGCATAATGACCTAAGCGGTTGCACAAATAACAAAATTAGATCATTTGCCTTAGTGTTTCTTTTTTCTTTTTTAAAAAAAAAAAAAACTAAAAAATTATTAGATCCAATTTTTTTATGAAAAAAATTAAAAAATAAAATTAAAAAATAAAGGAAAATAATAATAGTTTTTTCAGTTTAGGTTTTAAATTTAATTGTTTTTTATTTTTAAGTTTGATACTTTTTTAATTTTTAATATCTATTTTATGAAAAATAATAATTTAAAAAAAAAAAAAAGAGTTCCTTTTATAGTTTAGTTTTTTTAATTTTGATCATTTTTAATTTTTACTATTTATTTTGTAAACAAAATAATTTAAATTTGTTCAATTGTATTTTTACCTTTAGATAAAGTTAAATCTAATTCTAACTGGCTAAATTGTCCCGTATTGAAGGATTTATAACTTTTGTCCTCCCATTGTAATCACAAAATGGTTGGCTAATTAATGGATCCATGGATAGATGCATCTACGAGTCCTGAACTTGATAACTATAATTTGATAGGGACTCATAGCAACTTAAAGCCATTAATTTATGAGCACTCTATCCAACTACTACATTTATTCATTTCACACACACGCACATATATACTATGAATAATATAATTAATATAAAAATATCACATTTCATATTACATATCACAATTCTACGACGTAATAATTAATAAATATAGACATAATCACACAAGTAACATATTAATGATGTAGTGTTATCCTTCTTGGAATGAAATGGAATTTTTTTATTGACCATAATTTCGTCAAATGTTTTACTTGGACAAAATGCAATTCTCGTTCTGGTTACTTTCTGTTTTCTACTCCTTAACATTAAATAGTCAATCACAGTACATAATCCAATGGAAACTCGTAAGTT